AACGCACAACCCGGGGCCCGAAATCGCCCAGTGACATTCAGACATGCAACCGGGGGCCCCCCTTTTCCCCCCCCCCCCCCCCCCCCTGTTTGCCCCATGCGGCAACGCCATGGCCGTCAGCCTCTTCCCACCTCTCTCTCTTCCGCAGTCCCTCGCCAATTCTCGCAGCGACCTTCATGCCACCTCCTCGCGGTCCCACTCTCGTCGTTCTCTCTTCTGCCCCGTCGTCCTCTGAGGGAGGGTGTAGAGGATGTAGAGTGTAGAGCGCCGTAGAGCTGTAGAGATGTAGAGCGCTCTGGAGCGCTGTAGAGCTGTAGAGCTCTACATCGGGCGCGGGACGAACTGCGTGCGTTGTAGAGCGATGTAGAGCGCGATTTTGCTGTAGAGTTTGTTGTAGAGGCCAACCCGCCGGGAAGGCAGTGACTCAAAGAGGTCGAGTCGCGCTAATGGGATGTCTCCGAGCTTACTGGAGCTCTGATGGACGGCCCTGACTATCCCTGACACACAGAGAGTCACTCTGATGGCACACAACACCCCATAACTGCGTCATCACCAGCCTGCCATGCGTCGCCGGTGCCGCATTCGTCGCAGTGCTTCTTTAGCAGGCGGTGGACTGTCGGCGGCGAGGACGGTCGCATTTGCGCAAGGCGAGGCGAGCATTCAGACGCGTTGCATGCGCCATGACTCGCGCCAGCGCGTGCGGGAGCTCCTGGCTGAGCGTTGAGTCCAAGCGAGTTGCGCTGGCCACGATCGCTACGCCGAGCCGAGCTGACGCGCCGAGGCGCCGGCCAGTCGCAGCCGTGAGGCATGCCATAGCAGCAGAGGCACCTGCCACCCATTGGGCGGGCAGACAGAAGGCCAGGGCAGCACTGGCAAGTGCAACGCGCCTCATGTCGGAGAGCGACCGTGCCTCGTTCGCCGCTTATCATGTAGAGTTTGTTGTAGAGATTTCACGTTGTAGAGCGCCTCTACATCGCTCTACAACGCACGCAGTTCGTCCCGCGGCGGATGTAGAGCTCTACAGCTCTACAGCGCTCTACAGCGCTCCAGAGCGCTCTACATCTCTACAGCTCTACAGCGCTCTACGCTCTACATCCTCTACACCCTCCCTCAGGTCGTCCTCTGCCTCATCGCTCTCCTCTGCCTCGTTCTGCGACGCCGCAGGCGCCTGCCGAGCCCTTCATTGCTCTCGTGGCTTCTTTCTCTCACTCACCTTTCGGCGTAACTCCGCTCTCGCCTTGCCGCGACCCGAGTATCTCGGGTCCTCCACAGTTTTGCGGAACAGACCAAAATGTATCGTATCTCTCAGTTTGTCGAGCTCTCCTCTCTCAAGAGAACCAGCCTTCTGACTCCCACTCCGATCACGTAAAAAAAGAAAGAAAGAAAACAGACCACCCAAACGAGGGATGGGGGAGGAGGACAGGGTCCACACCGCTGCACGAGCAGGATTTTGGAAGGACGATCAGGGGCACAGGTGGGGCTCTCCTGCTCCTGACAAGGGACACGACAGGCTCGCAGCGCGGTGCACGGTGGACCACTCCCAACTCCACTGGCGGTCTCATCTCAGTCTAGGGGTAGTCTAGGCTCTAGCGACCTGCCTCCAGCTTCTCACTGGCAGTCTCTCGCTCACGTAATAAATAAATAAACAAAG